ATAAACAAAGAGGTCCGTCTGTCTGCAGGGTGTGTTTCTCCACGACCTGGGAGTGGAGCCGGGAGCTCAGCCCCTGAAGATCTTCATCAACACTGCCTTTTCTTTGTTGTTCAACCCGCTGCCATGGCAACGAGTTGTTTACAGGGAGGTCAAGGTGAGTGTTTACAGGAAATTCTGACACAAGTCTGTGTAGTCTCAGACAGACAGACAGACAGACAGACAAACAGACAGACAGACAGACAAGTCTGTGTAGTTTCAGACAGACAGACAGACAGACAAGTCTGTGTAGTCTCAAACAGACAGACTTGTCTGTGTAGTCTCAGACAGACAGACAAGTCTGTGTAGTCTCAGACAGACAGACATACAGGCAGACAAGTCTGTGTAGTCTCAGACAGACAGACAAGTCTGTGTAGTCTCAGACAGACAGACATACAGGCAGACAGACAGACAAGTCTGTGTAGTCTCAGACAGACAGGCAGGCAAACAAAGACTTAGATAGATGGTCAGACAGACAGACAGACAGACAGAGACTTAAATAGTCAGATAGACAGACAAAGACTCAGAACGAACGAACGAACGAACGAACGAACTTTATTTTCAAAGGGTTACAAATTAGGCACGCAGGCCTGTCTTACATTCGGCCCTTCCAAACTTCCATCTTTCGCACAGCAGTTGTATTTCATCAATGAAGCATGTTATATTTATGTAATAATATGCATATTATATATATAAAGTCAAAAACAAAAGCATGGGTGGTAAAATATGTGCGCAAGCTCACGTGCGAACACACACACCCACATACACACACAAGCCAAATCACTCACTTAAACACAAACACATAGGCACCCAGTACACACATACATCTACATACATACGAACATGCACACATCGGTCAGACAGACAGTCCGTCAGTCAGTCAGTCTGACACACGCAAAAACTCATGCACGAACAGGAAGACATAGAAATTAACAAACAGATGGACGAATGAACAGACAGAAAGACAGATATTTAGACAGACAGATAGGTAGAGAGACAGACTGACTGGTAGACACAGAGACAGATAGGTAAGTAGTTGGACAAGTAGAAACTTACACACTTTCTGGTAGGTGTGCACATGTTCACAGACAGACAGACCGACCGACCGACCGACCGACCGACCGACCGACCGACCGACAGACAGACAGACAGACAGATAGATAGATAGATAGATAGATAGATAGATAGATAGATAGATAGATAGATAGATAGATAGATAGATAGATAGATAGATAGATAGATAGATAGATGCTGACCTTGACCCGACCTGACCCCTACAGGTGAGCCAAGATGTCTACCAGGGCGTCCCTGTGAGCACATACACACCTGTACAACACGCGCCAGGTGCCAGGTGCCAGGGCTATCCCACCATCGTCTACTTCCACGGGGGTGGCTGGACCTGGCTGTCCGTGGGTGAGTATGTGCGGCGTACAGGTTTCTTCCATCGTCTGACCATTTGTCTTCACGTGCTTTTCCTGAACACCAACCATGTCTGGTTGACCATCAGTTTTGCATTTAACTGTGCTTAAATTGTGTGTGTGTGCGTGCGGGCGTGTGCGTGCATTCATGCGTGCGTGCGCACGCGCGCGCGCGTGTGTGTAGCTGATCGTGTTTGTAATTAACACTTTTTGCACTTGATTGTGTCTGTATTTGATCACATTTGTATTTGATCCTGTTTATATTTGATCATATAGGTATTCGATTGTGTTTGTATTTTATAGTGTTTATATTTGATCGTATTTGTAGTTGATTATGTTTGTATTTTGATCCTGTTTTTAATTGATCATTTCTGTATTTGATCATGTTAGCAGATGATCGTGTTTGTAAATGATTGTGTTTGAAGATGATCATGTTTGTAGATGATTGTGTTTGTAGATGATTGTGATTGTAGATGATTGTGTTTGTGGATGGTTGTGTTTGTAAATGATTGTGTTTGAAGATGATCATGTTTGTAGGTGATTGTGTTCATGTACAGACAAGAACAACAATAAGAACTGTATTGAGAACTAGCAAGGTCAGTGCCGTTTGGAATGAAAAACAATATTTGTTTAAGGGCAGAAATACTTTTCCATATACTTCCTTTCTCAGGAGTCTACGATGGTCCACTGAAGCACTTTGCTAACTTGAGCAGGTTTAAGATCATTGCTGTTGAGTAAGTCAAACATTGGCATTCATTATTGCATACATTATTCAATTATTTATTTAATTCATGCATTCACTAATTCGAATGAATTACAATAATTTATTATGCTTTCTTTAATCATTAATATATTAATTTACTTGCTATTAAGTAGAACTAATGTTGACAACAACGGTCCTGAAATCCCATGCTATAATTATGGAAGCCTCGTTTTAACGCGGGCAGGTCTTGCAAGTCACACTCGCCATCGCCATGGGCTGTGAGTCCCATGCCTCCTCATAGCACAGTATAACACTATCATCTGGAAAGATTGAAAGGTGCCAATGTAAATAAGTCGATTCATCTGTTCACCCATTCACTTCATTTATCACTTACATATTGATTAAAGAGGGAGCTGCGTGGTCTTGAGGCATGGTGTCTGCCTCGAGTGCTAGAGGCTCCGGGTTCAATCCCGGGTAGGGCCGGAATTTTTTCACGTGGACTTGGACTTCTAGTAATTCCCCCTGTCTCTCGGTAGTGAGATCGGACGCCCGCGTGCATTGCTGCGCACCTAAAAAAATCAGTTTTCAGTTGGAAATCGAAAAATAGTAACCTAACGGCGCTGCCCGGACAGAATTTGAAGTTGAAAATTTATCCTAAGTATTTTAGGATCCTCGCGCGTGCTAAAGAGCCTGTGCACTGTGCTGAGCTTCTTCGGCATCAGACTTGAGTAAGAAGAAAAATGGATCACCTATGGGGTATTACCTGTGTGCCATGATGTTGATCCGTTGTTAAAAACCCTCAAAGTATTGATTAAGAAAAAAAAAGTGTTAGAGTGCTATATAGAACCTGCTGTTATGTAGTATGAACATTACGCAGACAAGCTCAAACCTACTTGTTCGCGTTCGATGTGCGTTTTTAAAAAATGCAATTCATTAAACAAAGCATTCGTCCTCCAGATAAATTAAAAAGTTAGACATAGACAGTGGCTATTTTTTAGATATGTTAGAGCAAAAAGTGCATTTTATAACTTGCTAGCCACTATCAAGCCTGATGGACAAAGAGCAAACAATGGACACAAGAACTTGCTAGCCACTATCAAGCCTCATGGACAAAGAGCAAAGAATGGACACAAGAACTTGCTAGCCACTATCAAGCCTGATGGACAAAGAGCAAACAATGGACACAAGAACTTGCTAGCCACTATCAAGCCTGATGGACAAAGAGCAAAGAATGGACACAAGAACTTGCTAGCCACTATCAAGCCTGATGGACAAAGAGCAAAGAATGGACACAAGAACTTGCTAGCCACTATCAAGCCTGATGGACAAAGAGCAAAGAATGGACACAAGAACTTGCTAGCCACTATCAAGCCTGATGGACAAAGAGCAAAGAATGGACACAAGAACTTGCTAGCCACTATCAAGCCTGATGGACAAAGAGCAAAGAATGGACACAAGAACTTGCTAGCCACTATCAAGCCTGATGGACAAAGAGCAAAGAATGGACACAAGAACTTGCTAGCCACTATCAAGCCTGATGGACAAAGAGCAAAGAATGGACACAAGAACTTGCTAGCCACTGGAAAGCCTGATGGACAAAGAGCAAAGAATGGATACGAGAACTTGCTAGCCACTATCAAGCCTGATGGACAAAGAGCAAAGAATGGACACAAGAACTTGCTAGCCACTGGAAAGCTTGATGGACAAAGAGCAAAGAATGGATACGAGAACTTGCTAGCCACTATCAAGCCTGATGGACAAAGAGCAAAGAATGGACACAAGAACTTGCTAGCCACTGGAAAGCCTGATGGACAAAGAGCAAAGAATGGACACAAGAACTTGCTAGCCACTGGAAAGCCTGATGGACAAAGGGCAAGTGGAATTCAAAGAATTAAATACTTGGATGGCTTAGCCAGTTGGATATGGTGAGACAAAAACAAAACTAAGCGAAATAAACGGTTGAGTATAAATTAAATGCATCTGATATACGTATTTCACTTGAATAACTTTATGTAGAGTATCCCTATTCTTGTACATGTTCGGTTCTTGAATTTCAGATACCAGAAGTCACCAGAACATCCATTTCCAGCGCCATTTAACGACTGTTTGTCTGTGACCCAGTACGTCATAGAACACACGCGAGAACTCAACGTCTGCAAAGATTTCATCGTCTTGGCGGGAGATGGCGCAGGGGCGAACCTAGCCGCTGCTGTGGCTAACGAGATGCGAAGCCTAGTCAGACTGCAGCTCCTGATCAACCCCGCACTGCAGATGGTCAACTTTGCTACGCCTTCGTATCAAGCCTTCTCTGTGGGCTTCCAACTGCCAGGCATAACCTGCCCAGACAAGGAAATCAGCAACTGGATGAGGTATGGTAACATCAGCCCACACCTGAAACCAGCGATGGAACAGAATCTCCACGTCAGCCTCCGTGTCTATGAATACTTGAATTCTTTTGATGACAGCAGACAGAGAATCGCCTTACCTCTAAACTCCACACGAAGATTCAAGCTTCACGATATGGCCGAACAGGATAACGTGGCTTCACATTTTAACCGTCTGATTTTAGATCCGAGGTTCAATCCTATGTTCCATCCAGATCTGAGACATGTGCCGGATGCTTACATAATCACATCACAGTACGACGTTCTCCGAGATGAAGCTGTCATCTACACCCAACGTCTGCAAGAAAGTGGGGTGAAGGTCAAACTGCAGCATTACTGGCATGGGTTTCATGGCTTCTTGTTGTTCTCGGGTGGAGGCTGGATTGAGTTGAAGGAGAGCCAACAAGCAATGGATCACCTAGTGCAGTTTTTACATTCAGAACTCTGAGTTCCATTAAAGATATGATGTTGAGTATCCTCATCTGTGCAATATCGCAAGACTCAGAATGTCAATAAATAAAGAGGTAAATGGCCCCTTTCCACGCTTTCAGGCGTATTGGGCATGTAGGGCTAGACCTATATTTTATAGACCAATCAGCACTCGACTAATGATGTGGTCAACATCACGCTGGCCGCCTTTACTTCCCATGACTCTTCCTGAGACCTATTTAAGGCGGCGTCGACCTGGGAGCCAAGGTCATGTTTTTGGGACCTCAGGACCTGAACCCCCGACCTTTAGATCGTCTAGCCACTACACCACAGTGGCAGAATGTCAGTATGTTACACTTAAACCATCCTTACTTACATTTACACAGGCATACAGTAAAAACAAGATGATACAAAACTTTGTCAGTTTTGATATACCTTTTACGTGATTCGTTATTTCGGGGTACAGGGTTCGATCCCATCTGCAGGCGATTTGGCAGCAGATCACCTTGCGTTGGTTTCGACAGTGGTACTGAGAGCTGATCGTCCAGTAAGCATAGAAAACCACAACAGCCAGAAGCTGCTGTGGCTGGTTCTGCAACCTCCTGTAAAGGATACACAACTTACTTACAGAAAGATGAGTACTACACTCAACACACGTTACATCACTGACTCTCCCATCCCAGTAATTTTGTAAGAGTCTTAAAGCCGATTTATTCATTTTTAGAAATTTGCCAGTGTGTGTGAAAACGGTCTTCAAGACGTAGGGGTTTCAACATGCGGTTCGCAAACCAGAGGGAGACAACTCAGTCAACAGTCGAGGAAACCAGACTGCGTGGCTCCTAGAGAGCCCAACCCAGAATAGACGGGACTAGATGGAACAACGGACATTCTTTTACTAGCTGGAGTCACAGTAACAAATGTTACAGTCATTGACAGCTACAGTAACTGATGACACATTACTGGAGCAAGTAGTGGATTGTAGTATAAGCTACAGTAACTGATGACACATTACTGGAGCAAGAAATGGTTGTAGCATAAGCTACAGTAAGTGATGACACATTACTGGAGCAAGTAGTGGTTGTAGCATAAGCTACAGTAAGTGATGACACATTACTGGAGCAAGTAGTGGCTTGTACATAAGCTACAGTAACTGATGACACATTACTGGAGCAATTAGTGGATTGTAGTATGAGCTACAGTAACTGATGACACATTACTGGAGCAAGTAGTGGTTGTAGCATAAGCTACAGTAAGTGATGACACATTACTGGAGCAAGTAGTGGCTTGTACATAAGCTACAGTAACTGATGACACATTACTGGAGCAAGTAGTGGCTTGTAGCATAAGCTGCAGTAACTGATGACACATTACTGGAGCAAGTAGTGGCTTGTAGCATAAGCTGCAGTAACTGATGACACATTACTGGAGCAAGTAGTGGTTGTAGCATAAGCTACAGTAAGTGATGACACATTACTGGAG